GACATATTTTTTAAAAAAAGATTTTTTTATTTTCAAACTATTTGTAACTGCACCTACATGAGAAAAAAAAATTTTTTTATTTATATGCATTAGTTGTGACGTAATTCAAATTTTAATATGTTAGGATTTGCAATGATCAACGGGTGGTCGGATATTTTTTGGAGGGGAATGTACATTAAGTTCCTTTAGTATACAATATATGTCTTTGAAAAGCCCACAATCGTCTTTTTGGAATAGTAATATACAGTGGTTGAGTAGGCCAAATCTGTATAAACCTCTGAACCAGTTCATTGCGTAAAAGTTAAGTTCAAACCCTGTGTTGAATGAACTATATCAATTAGTAAGCCAGATAAACGAGAACTACATATTAGGTTTATGTGAATATTAATGTACCCACTTGGAGCCATCCATAGACTACCAAATTTTTTCTTTGGTTGTTATCTACATGTCAGCACCCTTTCAATGCATTATTAAGAGAGTCTCGCATCATAATACTAAGTTTCACTTTATCTAAATATCATTTTTTACGGGATGAAGAAGAAATGCCTAGCGATGTTATACCACCAGACACTTCGCTGAAAAGAGCTTTGAATTTATTTGGAGTATTTTTTAGCGTTCCCTTCATGTCGACTTTTCATCCTAAACGTGCTTTCTGGAAAGGATTCGAGTTTTCATTCCTTGCATTTTTTTGTGCTATATACCTGAATTTCACCCCTATACATAAAAAATATTTTAAATTTTTTCTATTATCCTGTTATGAGATAAATACACCATAACTTACCATGCATTTTTAACTACATTTAGTTGAAGAATAGAGCAAAAAAGTGGAAAGATAGAAATCATTTTCAATTCTTCCTCGGTCATGGAATCATTAAGCGAGTACATATTCTCTTTTCTTTATTATAGAAAGAAGTAAAATATCCAGTTAAACAATTTTAGAGAATATTGCACAGACACTTATAATAAACTAATACTTACATGAATTGAATGTTCATATGAAGTTTCTTTATATTCTTTATTTGATGACTTTCTTCACAGTTCTTATTGAAATATTCTTGAAGATAATTCGGTGCCGACTTTGGATCCCAAGAAATAGTATTTGAAAAATCTTGTGATAATTCCCAAATATCCTTCTGAAAATTCCTTGCATCCACTTAGACTCTCTTGAATTAGATCCAATATATCCCAATATGCTGGATTAATAAATGATAAATAAGGTATAAGTATAAAGACCATATCATTATTATATGTTAAATCAGTGAAAACTTACGTAGTAACTCAGTGGCACTTTGGGATACTTTTTTGATATTTTTAAACATGGTTAGTAAGTCGTCACCACTTGACAGTTTGTATTCAAATATATTTTCAGATGGTTTTGAGATCGGTAGCTTTATTTCACTTATTAACCCACTTTCATCGATACTTTCTATAAGGGAGTCTTCATTTTTTTCGTCAAACAATATACTGCTACATTTATCCTCTTCCTCAGAATCTTTCATTTTCTCTGATGTTTTGTTCTGAATGTATATAAAGAATAAATTCATAAAAAACGAAGTAGTTAGATATATCGAATCATTTATTAAAAGTGAATGTCCAGAGAAACTCACATCCGCACCTTTTTTTGATCACCTGGAAAGTTTTCGGCTTCTGCCCTTTGATTATTTAATTGATCTCGTTCTTCCTGAGGACACTCTCCTAATGTCTCCACCTGTTCTTCATCTACTTTAACATCGGAAACACGCTTCTTTTTTCGAGGTGACCAAAAGATTGAAGGTCCTCCCTAAGGAAAAATATATTCGTAATTAATAAAATTTTTGTAGCTTATAACATTAAAATAGATTTGTAGTTAAAACATTAGTTATTTCTTCTGATTCTTACACTTCTAGTTAACAAAATGCATTTGTACCTTTTTTCGATCTTTTTTTAATTTGAATGATCTAGCAACCAATGTATCACCAGATATAGTTCCGTTGACATTTCTATGTATGGGCCTATGTATGGATCTACAGACCCCCGCCAAAAGTTTCTGAACGCTTTTTGACTCAATGTAAAACTTAAAATTTTAAAGTTTATTAAAAAAATTTATTAATTTATTTATTAATGTACGATATGCTACACATTTGGTACTAAATAATTAGTACTTGATCAGGCCTTTATTTGTTTCATTACAGCCTGAATTCACTGTAACAAATCGCTTCAGCTGGCTTCGCTGCGAATCTTTAATTAAGGATGGTCAACTAGAACGAAGCCTCGAATTAATGGTTCCAGTGTCATCCATTCTTTTTAAAGTTCTAAATGCTGTTAAAAATCCACAACCGATATTTGCAGCAATAGCCTAGTAACTATCGCCACATTGACGGCAAAATATATATTGCCGCGTTGTTCTTTGAACATTTTCGTAGTTTTCAAAAGGTAAATTTTATTTTGATTAAAAATCAAAATAAACAAACCAAACACACTTTTATTTGGTTTTGATTCAAGCAAACAAGGTCAGGTACATTACATGACCGCAGTATTATATAGTCATATGATGTATTCGGTATGAAATAGCCAAAAGATAATATTTGGAGACTTTTGGCGAGGGTCTGTAGTATATGCTATTATAATATAAGAAAGTGAGCTTATTTATATCTCTTGTTTAAGAAAATCTTTCTTGCTTTCTTATGAAATAAAATTTATCAATGTTAATCCATTGTGATTTTCATATATACAAGATATAATATACTAATTATTTTCATCTTATTAATTATTTATAATATAGTGAAAATATGGAGAATTGAAATTTTATATTATTTTGTATAAATTTATATAAAACTGGATTTAGATAGAAAATTTATAATAAAAATCATAAGCATTAATCCTCAGTTATCTATATGAAGTGGTAGATTCTGCTTCTATTGGTTGCAAGTGTGAAAACTTTTCATGATTATCATATGATATAGATGAGAGATTTTCAAAATTATTCAAAAAAATTTTTCTTAGTATATAGATTAATTTACTTAGGAAAAAGAACGCTGTAAAGCTTGTGCTATAATACTTAACTTAAAAAGAATTTGTATTATAATGGCTGACTTAAAATGAATATGATCTATAATTTTAAAAATATCATATTAACTAAGTAATTCAATATTTGATTAGTTTATTTTTCTGCCTTTTTTGTTACTTAGTCTTATATGCATTTAAAAAAAAAAGATATATAATATATAAACTTATTTAAGCTTATTTAAGCTTATTTAAACTTATTTATAGGCTTTAAGTTTTAGGCATATTCTTATAACTATTACAAAAAATGGGTTAATATATAAGAATTTTTTTTGTTTACATAAATCCTTTTAAAAAAAAAAAAATTAAAACTAATTAAATGTATTATAATAAAAAAAAAATACTATAACTAATTCAGAAATATCATTCAGCCATATTCTCACTAATTTTTTTTTCTTAAAAAGAAATCGCAGAAATTTTATAATTAATCTAAAAATATTACAACCATTTTTTTTGTCAAATTTAAAAGAAACAATATGAAGAAATAATTACAAAAATATTATAACTAATTTAATTATTCCTTCTACCAATTTTTTTTTAAAACATTCTTAACTTCTTTTTCTTTATTAATAAAAAAAAATCTTTATTTATTTAAATTTTATGAAGTCATTAGAATCGTAAAAAATTATTTGTAATTGTAATAAATAAATAATCATAAGAAAAAAAATCTTTTTTTTTTAGATAAAAAAAAAAACAAATATAAAATAAACCTTTTGAGAATTATTATTTTATCCTGTATGAATTGTAAAAATCAAATCATTATGCCTGCTAAATTAACTTTGATTTGTATCATATACTTAGTTAATAAAAAAGATTTCTTCAATTATATGATAAGAAAAACGATCAGTATTGTAAAAAGAGAAGATAACACAAGTATGAATATTAAAATAACTGCCTTTTTTCCAAAAAATCTTTCAGTATTCAAATGGATTCCTATATTCACACTCAACAATATATTGAGATTTACAGAAAAATTTATACTTAACAAAAATCCTTCTTATAATAATATATTAGAAGTAAATAATTTGTATCAAAATATCTTTATTTAAAAAAAATAATAAATTTAATTAACAATCATCATCTTACTATTCTAATATTTAAATAATAGTAAATGCTGGAGACCTGATCAAAATAAATCAAAAAAACCTTTCTGTTAATTCTATTTTAATATTTGTAATAGGTTTTACTACAGGATCAGTTCAAAGTGAAAATGACCTATTCAAAAGTATTAAAATACTCATTATTGAATTTATAAGAAGCAGAAACTCAGAAAAAAAATTCTATATTAAATATAGATATTTAAAGTCTAATGAAAGAATTGAAAATAAACTTACAAAAATAAGAAAAAGCTTAAATTTGATGATTATAAGAGAGTTGATTTATATCAATTCTGAATTTTAAATAGATATTCAAGATATCAACTTTCTACTAATGTCTATAACCAATATAGAATTTTTATTAAATACATCTAATAGCTCAAAGTATTCTTGATTAATAACTAGTCAAACTGGTAGAATGTCTGCTCAAGCTATAGCTAACACTTAAATGAATGAAGGTTTAATCTCGAGCAATAAGAGCAAAAATAAAGTGATAGATAAATAAAATAAATCTAATTATAACCTCACAGTTTTACAATTCTATAAGCTTCAATCTCACAATTTAGAAACATAATAATCTTACATTTTGATAATCTTAATAAAAAGACAAACTATTTTATATATTTTTTTTCTTTAATTAAAAAAAAAATCATTCAAAAAATATAATATAAATAGGAATAATGCTTACCCCTCATCAAATTATTCTTTTTTCTTATCAAAAAAAAATCAATTCACTTTCTTTTCATTTTATAAACAGAAAAAAAAAATTACCTTTAATATTTTTCTTTTTTTTCCTTTATTCTTTTTTTTTCTTTTTTATGTTTCTTATTTTTTCTAGGTAAAATAAATAATAATAAATAAATAAATTTTCTAAAATAAGCAATAAATAATATAATAATAATACTCATCTTTATTTCTTGACTTTAAGATCATCATCACAAGTAATAATAAATTAAATATATTTCATAACGTATATAATACATACTATATAGACATGCCTATTGAAAATATCTTTGAATCATTCACAGATAATTATAATATGACTTCCTTTTTTACTAATCCTATAAAACTCTTAATACACAAATTTCACTCTTCTTATACCACTTTGTAATAAACTATGAAGACTAAATAAAACTTTAGTCACATCTATGATAAATTCTAATACAAATATTAAAAGAGTATTCAAATATTCCTTGTGTTTATTACAAAAAGTTACTTTACAAAAGTAAAGCTACCTGAATAGCATACAATCCTTCTAAAATATATCCTATAAAACAAGTAAATTTAATCAATGTACTCAATATATATACCAAGAGAAAAAAATTATTATTCTTTATAGTATAAATACTGAAGAAGAAACGGAATAAGAAATTATTAAAGCATTTATATCAAAGAAAATTATTTCAACTATATAGTATATTAAAAAAATAAATCATCAAAATTTCCTTATATTCTTCTTGTATAAATCTACAAAAGAGATCTCAGTTTCTAATATTAGCCAGAATTCTAGAAGAAATTCAAGTTATTCTATTATACTGCAGAAAGTTTTTATCTTCTGTTCATCTATATTGCTTCTTAGAAAGAAACTCAAGTTCTAGTTTATTCTATTCTGAATATCATAACATCTTAAGTATAATAAGATACTCAATTAATTTTAGAGTACTAGCATTATATTCTGATGTAATAGGAGTTTATCTACAATTACTCAACCTGAACTACAGTCAACTCTTTCTATAATGAATTTTGATATAACAAATTTTACAATACAACGGATTTTCAGTATCAGACAGATTTTTAAATATAAAAAAACTCTTACTATACCGAATTTAGTAATTAAAAATTCATACTATGTTTAACGAATTAAAGTCAAAAAAATTTATATATAAATGACTCTCTTTATAACGAATTTTCTCTATAACAAATTTTTTTTTTGATACAACGAAGTTTTGCTTAAAATGAAT